TGTCATAGTAGTCGTCGTACCATTGTGTTGTCGCGTCCTCAATGTCATTGCTTTCTCCTTGTCCATTGTTGTGTATTGCCACTCGGCAGTCTTTGGCATAGTGTCCTGCTCGTCCACATCTGTAGCGTGTGTCTGTCGCTTGTTTTCCTTTGTTCTTTCCTTTGCCTTTGTTGCATCCTTTGCTGAATCCTTTGTTTCCTTTGTTGCCTCTTCCGAACGGATTGCCGAAGCCAATCGGACTGCTGTTGTAGCTGTTGAATCCTTTTCCTCCATACTTTCCTTTTCCTTTGTGGTTGGTGTTGTAACTGTTGTAGCCGTAGCCGTTGTATCCTCCGTAGCCTTTGCCTTTGTTCTTTCCTGTTCCTTTGCCTTTTCCTTTGTAACTGTTGTACTTGCCTGTTCCTTTGTGGATTGCATCGATGTCCATAGGTGCTTGTCCACCACCGAAGCTTGTTGCCACGCTGGATGATTGTGATCGTAGTTGTTGTAGTTTGCTGAATGCTGTAGTCGACCTGTAGTACCCGATGATTGTTTGTTTGACTCGTGCATAGTTTAAGCTTTTCTTTCTTTCTTTCTTTCTTTCTTTCTTTCTGTCTTTCTCTCTTTCTCTCTTTCTCTCTCTCCCTCTCTCTCTCTTTCTTTCTCTCGCTCTCTCTCTCTCTCTCTGTCTCTCTCTCTCTCTGTCTCTCTCTCTCTCTCTCGCTCATTCTCTTTAAGTGCTTCTTTCTTTGTCTTCTCTCTGCGCAGCGCGCTCTGAGCGAGCGTGAGCGCGCGCTCGCGCCCCTGAGCTCTGTGAACTCGTGTGGCTGGGCTCTGTGGCTGGGCTTTGTGTCCAAGCCTTGTCCTCCTTGTCCTCGTCTTGGCCGCGCCCCTGAACTCTGTCAACTCTGTGGCTGGGCTCTGTGGCGTGCACGCTCTGACATACGCTCCAGAAAGGCGCGCTCAGAGCGCGCTCTACACAGAGAAAGACAGAGAAAGATAAACTTAAAGAGAGAGAGAGAGAGAAAGAGAGAGAGAGAGAGAGAGACAGAAAGAAAGAAAGAAAGAAAGAAAAGAAAGAAAAAGAAAGAAAGAAAGAAAGAGAGCAGGGCGAGCGCGCGCGCTCGCGTGCTATGCACGGCGCGCTCACGCTCCAGAAAGGCGCGCTCAGAGCGCGCTGCGCTACACTGCATCATTGCGCATGGCACCTGGTGGAGTGGCCACGCCGGGATGCCATCTGTGCGCGGGCGCACTGCCTTATGCCGTCCGACACTTGCTGCGACCAGACACATTGGAAAGCGAATATCGCCTACTGTGACTGGAAGGCTAACGAGGCTGACCTCTAAATCCTCTTGCAGGCAAATTTCATTCGCAAAGGGCGTGAGGGTGACTCCCTCAGGGCCAACTGTCACGGAGGGTTCTGCTTGCCGTTTTACCATGGCACTCTCTCCCCAGGGCAGCGCTCAGCACTTGGGTGCCGGCACTGTCCGTGTCACAGAATGTCAGACCCCAACAGACAGCTTCGGCAGCCGTGCGGGCCTGGTGCTGGCAGGGGGAGCAGGTATCCTTCACTTTAAGGAGCGCTTGAGCCAAAGGGCGACCGTGCTGCGCGAAGATCGCTGCCCACCTCTACAAAAATCGGTTGTCTACCAGACGAGTATGTGCATGCGGGTATGTGCATGCGTCTTTGTAGCGCAATGCAAAAACGCCCATATTCCCCCCCGACATCAAAAGCATCGACCAAGCAGAGCAGAGACATGCTAGCGATCGCAGTGTGGCCAACAAACTGTCAGGAATGGGGGCAAAGTAGCTGCTAGAAAAGAGCTGAGAGGGATCCGCCATGGCCATCCTAAGCGTCTTGAGCGTAGGCACTGGGAGATAATACCCTTTGGGAAGGCAGCCTTTGATGACAACCAAAGGTCGCATTGTGGCTCTTCTGCCTCGCTTGCACGTGATCTGAGGTGCATCAGGGATCAGTGAGCTGCTCTCATCGGACCTGCTATTGACTTGCCGCGCTCGCTTTTCAGCAGTTCGGGCTATTTTCCTGTCCGCGGGAAGCATTCGCAACTCTGTGCTGCCGCTAGCATGACTTGGTGTAGCCACCTCTACGCAAGGGAGACGGCTCAGCAGGCAGGTGCTTCGTCTCCATGGGGGTACAACCGGTGCCTGGCCTAGGGCCGACCGAACGGAATCCACTAGAGTACGCCAAGCCTGCCGGATTGCTTGATAACAGGCGGGAATCGTCACCTTGATCCATCCCATAATGTCAGATTCCATGTTGGGCAGGCTCGGCCATTGCACCCGAGTCATTAGGAGCGCGGGCCAGAGGGCTAGCGTTGTATCATCTGACCAGGCAGTCATAACGACGCGGCATGTGCGTCTCTGTCGCCACTCTTCCCATTGCTGGAGGGTCATTGTCGGTGCACTATCAAAGGCCCTGCTAGTGGTGGGGTAAGAAATGGCAAGGAGTTCTGCCGGGAGATCAGTCAAAGCCCAAAAGTGTAGAACTCCTCTGTCCGCGATTGGGGGTAGCACGCGGGATGACCAGCTCAACACTGGTGCCGTAGGACCCGCAAGTCCTAAATCCACAAGATGTCTATGGATAATATACCTGTCATACACATCGCCCGCAATGAGGATGCCACTCAGAGTGAGATAAATCCTTCCATATTCCGTCGACAATGGGCGGACGAGGGTACCATCACTTAGTCGAGCCTCAGCTAGCCGAAGGACTTGTGGTACCTGAAGAATTTCATAGCCAGCCGGATCGAATGGGTTTATGCTATTTAACATCTTGTTTCTGGCCGGGACTGCACCTGCAATGCGTAGGTGAAAGTGATTCGGGGGTAAATTCAGCGTGAGCGCTACGACATAACAGCGATGTCTCGTATTGGTGACCTCCGTAACGGCTGGTGAGAGGTCAAGCAGAGAGAAAGACAGAGAAAGAAACACTTAAAGAGAATGAGCGAGAGAGAGAGATAGAGAAAGAGCGAGAGAGAGAGAGAGAGAGAGAAAGAAAGAGAGAGAGAGAGAGAGAAAGAGAGCAGGTGCTCTGGATGGCGCGATCGGGCGCGCTCTGACATACGCTCCAGAAAGGCGCGCTCAGAGCACGTTTTGCAGAGAGAAAGACAGAGAAAGAGAAGCTTGAAGAGAAAGAGAGAGAGAGAGAGAGACAGAGAAGAAAGCACAGAGTTGACAGAGTCCAGGGGCGCGGCCAAGACGGACAAGCGGACAGCCACAGAGTTGACAGAGTTCAGGGGGGGGCGCGGCCAAGACAAGGACAAGAGGAGGACAAGGCCTGGACACAAAGCCCATCCACAGAGCCCAGCCACAGAGTTCAGGGGCGCGGCCAGTGAGTGTGGCCAGCTCTTTTCTTTCTAAGATAGAACCCCAACTGTAAACTGTTTAGGGAAAAAGCCGGCATGCACCAACCACCGTTTACACAAACCGCGGTCTACACCAACCACGGCTTACACCAAAGCACAGATCACACCCACCACGGCTTACGCCAACCACCGTGTACACCAACCACGGTCTTCACCAGCCACGCTTGGCACACACCACCATTTACACCAACCACGGTCTTCGCAAACCACGGTTTACACCAAATCACGGTTTAAACCAATCCACGGTATACACCGAACCACGGTTTACACCAACCATGTTTACACCCCGCCACGTTTTGCAACAACCCCCTTTACGCCAAATCACGCTTTACGCCCAACCGCGCTTTACGCCAAACCACGCTTTACGCCTAACCATGGCTTACACTAATCACGGCTCACACCAAACACCGTCTACACAAAAACACAGCTTGCACCAACCACCGTTTGCACCAACCACGGTTTACACCAACCACGGGTTACACCAAAGCACGATTCACACCAACCATGGCTTACGCCAACCACCGTGTACACCAACCACGGTCTTCACCAACCACGGTTTACACCAACCACCGTTTACCCATGTTTACACCACACCACGTTTTACACCAACCACCGTTTACACCAAACCGCGCCTTGCACCAAACCACGGTTTGCGCCAACCACCGCTTACACCAAACCACGGTCTACCGCAGCCAGGGTTTGCACAAAAGCACGGTTTACACCAACCGCGGTATACGCCAACCACCGTGTACACCAACCACGGTCTACACTAGCCACGGTTTATACCAAATCACGCAGCTGCGATTGTTCACTGTTTGTTATATCTGTTGGTGTTGGTCAATCGTGCATCTGCTGCTGCTGCTGGCTGCCGCAGGTGGTGCTGTTTTGCTGCTGCTGCTGCTGCTGTTGTTGCTCGGGTGGTTGTGTGTTGCCTGTGTTGGGGGGGGCACTGTTGGCCCTCTCCTCCTTTGCCCTCGGCCATGATATATTGCGACTCCCGGCCTGGGCTTTGCTGCCAAAAAGGCCCCAGCGCTGCTTCTTCCCCTAGCTTTCGCCACCCCCCTGGGCCACAAGTTGAAAAGTGCGCCATGCGCCCGATACCGGAACCCTACATTTTGCGGGTGCCCCGCGAATACAAGCCTGAGCCGAAGCTAGCTTGGCGGGGCCACCCGCCGCCAGCCCCCTACCTTTACTGTAAATGATTGAACCAAGCGCACATCGAGCATGACATGAACACATCATCTTGCATGGCAGGTGCAAGGGCGACGCATCAGCCAGCTGCCGCAAGCTGTTGGCTGTGACAAATTCTGCCAAAACAAACTCAACAGGCGCAAAGGTATCACACAAAGAACTAAAACTTTGGACCACAGAACCATCGAACACATTCCTCAGTAGGTTCGTCTTAAGCCTCACTGTTGACTCTGTTGGCCTTTTTGGATCCGACATTTCCTCTTGCCGCAAAGACGAACTTTAGAACTGTTGTCAAAGTCCACCAAACTCAGATACAAGTATTGAATTTCAATCAACCCGGATTCGGAGTTTGGATCTTCCAAGTAGCGAGTTTGGATCTGATCTACTCATAAAGTGAATGGAACCTCAGAGTTAGACTAGACTTTTATGCTTTGTGCGGTGCAGGCGCTTTATGTGCAGTTGGCATTTGTTTTGGTGCCGTTTTTCGACCATGCTGCCTACCTTTGGGCTGCGATCAACAACACGATGAATCATCACTACTACGAAGACTACAAGAACTTGCATTGGAAAGTTGCCAAACACATGCTGCTGGCCCAGCGGATGTTTCGCAAACACTTTTCCAAGCTGGAGCTTCCAGCATGGCAGCTCCTAGATGGTCTTTTGGCTGAAAATCTCCGATTCCCAGCGACCGACTTTAAAAGCCCACAGTTGGGTCTTGGATCCATTGAGAAGGCTTGGCATGCCAGACATCATTGGACGACTGAAAAGCGCTTCGGCTACGGAACTTATGATTCTGTCTCCAACTTGGCAGCTGCTGCAAGAGCGAAAGCAAAAGCAGGGGAGGCAGAGACAGAGGGCGAAAGCGAAAAACTGGAGCAATTTCTCAAAGAGTATTTGCAGCTTTTGACGGGGCAAATTCAGACCACCTCCTTGGTGAACCGCTGAGTGAAAATGCTTTGAGAGGAAAAAGGATGAGTGAACCGGATGACAACAGACAAATGGTTCGCCTCCAATTGCTGAAATCTATATTCGCAGGCATTGCTTTGTAGTCTCAGCGTACTTTTATGATTCATTTTTTTTCTTTCTGGGGTGCAGACGTGACATGAGATGAACATGAGGTGCACAAGTCCATCAGCCTTCTTTAAACGACTTCTATTTTTCAAACATTATTGAACGTCACAGTGCCGCAGCATGGTTCGCCTTTCTGCCTTCGCGGTTTGCCTAGTGGAGCTCCTTGTCCATGCAAGTTCATATTGCACCGCCTTCGACGACGCCGGTTGCAGTGGCCAGAGCGTCGCCACTAAGCCAGCAACGGGGACGCTATGGCCAATCAAGGAGATTATGATAACACTTTGTCAGACAAGCAGTGGAACATTTCTTGTGGTTTCCAGATGAGGAAGTATGGATGGAGAAATCAGGTCAAACTGGGTAGACAGCAACTTAAACTAGAGGGCGCTGAACTCCTCGGTACTCAGATGTACAAACTCCATTTATGTACTTTAGACAGTTGCTTATTGAAACGCTGGATATGTGGAGAAGACCTTTGTACGGTATTGTAGCACAAGCTGCAAATGCTGGTCACATCTGCCGAGAGTCACGAAACTCGGTGTGACGGTTTGAGGTCAGAGACAGCAGCATTTGGAAGGCAGCTCCAGACAAGTATGACCAACCTGGTGGACCTGAAGGTTTGACCACTATGAGCCTTGGAGAAAGACGAAAGACTGACACATGTGATTCGTTGTGGAGTGTAACACCTAGGTGAAACGCGTTCTAGAACCTCTTGAACATTTTTGAGCTATATCACAGATCCTACTCAAGCAACTTTTAACAGGAAACCTATGGTGCCCCATATTGAGAAATGACAGCAGCGACACATAGTCATACCACCTTCATTCTTTTTGTGCGTCACAGTTGTTTCAGCTTGTTTCCATTTTAGCCTGAGAGAAGATAGGCCGTCTTAGACGCGGTTTCACCGTGCGTGGTGTCCAGGACTCAGCTGAACAACATCATCATGGGCCATGCTGCCACGCAAATCATCCTGGCCGGAAGTCAACTTGGACTTTTCGAGTTCTTGCATGAGAATGGCCCACAGACCAAAGGCACTATTGAGGACACTACTTGTCTTAAATCCGAATCACTTTCACACAAATCTATACTTTTGTGCGGGGCATGTAGTTTTTTGTCACCTTGTTTTTTTCTGCAAGCAGGCCGCACGGATAGAAGTTCACTGAGGGTTTTCATGAATAGGACCTTGCTCGTTTGAAAGACAGCCGCCCGATGCGAAATGAACTGATGTGTGGTGCACTGTGATGAACTGTGTTCAACTCCGGCCTGGACCTAGTGTGCTTGGAAAAATCCGAAGCTAGCCGTGCGATTTGATTCTTGCGCCTCGGTGCTTGTTTGCTTGATGGTTTTCGGACACTGTGATGTTTGGTGATTTCAGTGAGTAGCTTGTTCTGCAATGATTTATGTCGCTAATGTGGCAAACTGATACAACATGAGTGCTGTTCCAGTCCTGCACCTACCATGAGAGTTGGCGTGGCGTCACTAGTGGATGGAGGATGATTTGACGCATAGACTGAGTATTGAACCACCAAATTGCCACCCCCTCTATGTGCCCTGCAAGTCCTGCTCCGTTGGAACCAAATACTACCGATCAGAATATGTATTAATGTAGCTCAGCAGATATGGTGGGCATGTTGTTTATGTATGTTTATGTTTCATTCTATTCTCACTGTGCCCTAACGTTGCCAGGCCACCCTGGAACATTGCTTGCTTCGTTTTGTTTCGTGTGGTGAAAAGCACTCTCAAAGCACTAATCAGAGGCAAACGGAAGGGTAGTGCACAGAAAGAGTTTTGCAAAAACCTATTCTACTAACATCGTGGAAGGTCCAGGACATTCGTGGAACCCGGGGCTATTCGTGGACGCTTTATGGAATGGTGGCCAGTAGGGAAACTGACTGCAACAAAACACCCACAAACCTTCGCAGAACTTTGTGGAAGGTGTTTTTGACATTTTTGACGCACTAACTTTGTATAAGCCATTTTTGCTGACCCCCTTTCTCCACACACCCTCGATTTAGCCTTCAACTGATTGTTGCACTCTTAAAGCACATTGTTGTAAAAAGTTCAGGAGGCTTTGGGGCTGAAGCGAAGCGATGGCAGCACTCGGCCCATTGAAGTGTTGTTGCTGGGAAGCACGTCGATTGGCCTCACCGTCTTGGACAAGAGAGAGAAGACCTATCGCAATTGCGAGATCATCGACAGGCTTTTCACGACTGGTGGCTGGAGGTCCATAGCGGATCTGATTGACCTGGAAGCCATCATCAAATACAAGGGTGAGTTTCACTTTGTTGAATCTTTGCGTCCCTCAGTTTCGAATTGCTTTTATTGCATTTAGCATGCGGAGCATAGTGCCATATTGTACCAGGTTGTACCTAGGTGCAGCAGACTTGAGTTCGTACGTTTGTACACTGGAGATGTGGCTTTGAGGTAAAGATACCAATGTGGGACTACAAGAGTGGCCCGGGGCTGCAGACAATCTCTATTCACGCCTTCCACAAACCCCCGGAGCCCAGAAGATCTTCTACGAACCTGGGCTGAAGCAGCATTGGAGGCCACAAGCATCACTTATCCTCAAACACGCTGTAAAACTCGGCACTTCTTAGTACAACTTGTTTGCAACTGGTAAAACCAGATTTGAGCATTTGCTGATAGCAGTCGGTGTAGTTTGAGGGGCTGAGAGGCCTGATTCACAAAAGGGCCTTCAAGGCTTCATTCTGATGTCAAGCAAAATGAACGATCCAATCCGTGATTCAATCATTCACTGAGGACTTGATGAATTCCTTCACTGCGTTCTCCATTCCATGCTTGTCGAATACTTCCAAAGTGGCCGCGACCAGCTTTAAGCTGCTTGATGTTTCTGACCTGAATTTGTGTTTTGTGTTCAATTTGTTGTCTCGTTTTCATAATATGTTTATTTCCCAAGCTGTTCGGAAACTCTACTAGTACCACGACGGTGCAAATCTTCGAAATCGGGTTGACGGTCGAAATCCGGGCAGCCCTGCGGTACTTGCCGTCCCTTCTCGGATGTTTTCCGTTCCTTCCTGCGGTTTTCGGAGTTGAGGAGTTTTTTGAGATTTACATTTCCCCAGATAGCTGCAGGCTATAGGGGTTCTAACTTCTCAATGGTGTCGCTTTGGATCGGCGTCTTGGTTTTGCAGGCGCTGCTGCCGTGCTGGTGCTGGTGCAGGTGCAGTTCTGGCTTTGGGATCAGCATGTTGGTTCTGCAGGTACTGCTGCTGTGCTGATGCTGGTGCTGGATGGGCGTTTTGTTTTGCTGGTGCTGGTGCCGTGCTAGTGCTGGTGCAGGCGCTGGCTTTGGATCGGCGCTTCGCTTTGCGTCATGCCGGGGATGACATCATGACATGCCAGGGGTGACATCCATGTCATGCCCAGAATGACATCACGTCGTGCCAGGGATGACATCATGCCAGGGCATGTCAGGCCCAGAATGACATCATGCCAGGGATGACATGCTGTCATATTGTGCAAGACACCGTGCTGTGCAGCAATGATCATCGTGTCGTCTGGGCAGTTTTGGCTACTCCTTGCCGATCTTGCAGCTTTACGTCTGCGTTGGGCAAGGCGAGCGGATTCAGCTGATAGATGTTGCGCATGTTGGTGGAATGGTTTGATATTCTTTGATGTTGCGTGCTCCGGTGACAGCCATCCGCAGCGTGTCCTTTAAGCCCATACACCTGCTATCTGGGGCCTATGCCGGTGTAATTGACTTTCTTGTGGGTGAAATTTTGGGCTAGCTATGGCTATGGATTTTTGGTTTCTTTCCCTCTTACTGTTAGGCTACATGTCCTTATTTGTCACTTTACTTGACATGTCATATCGCAATTTTTGACATCCCGGTATGTTATGTTTTCTTAACTGTGCTTCTTTCTTTTGCTCTCGAGCTTTCTAGTTGGCGAGCTTCTTCCACTTGTCCTCAACCCTTGCCCCTTCAAAAACTCTCGAGTTTTGTTGGTCTTCTCTCACCATGTTGCTTCGCTTTACTAAACTGCTGATGAGTTTTGTTTCTTTTGTCAACCTGTTTCAGTCACTTCAACGTTTGTTGCAATTGTTTATTTTGTTGATGTTCGCTTTAGTAGTTTGGTGATGTGTGGTGTATATACTACTTTCTCAACTTTCTTCCAGAGTGTTCCGGGTTTATCCGCAGTGCGCCCTTTGGAGAGCTGTTGCTGGGGCATCCGCAGCGTCAGCTACCCGCGCATGTGCCGAACCTGCCATTCAGTTTCCCCTATCGTTCTGCACATTCTTCTCATGGGTGCACATTTGCAGTTTCGTGTGGCGAGGGTGTTTGCACTTCAGAAGTGTTTTATTTTCTTGGAAGGTTTCTCTCCAATTGCAGGATAGACCTCAAAATACTCGCGCTTCACTCTACCGAATACACATGTTTCTCTTTTGCAAGTTAGAAAGACTTGTTTTACTTGTGGTTTCCTTCTTACTCTTGTCTACTGTTTTCTTCAGATTCGCAATGTTTGACATTCGTTGCCTCCGTTCTCGACTTTTTGGCTGTTCTTGATTTCTGTATTTTTCCTTTGCTTGTTTGATCTTTTTTGTTTGCTTCCCAGTTTTTTGTACCTCGTATGCCCTCGGCTTTTGCCCCTTCGTTGCTTTTTGCTTTTCTATGTAGGTGTTTGCGTCTGTTTGTTCACTTGTATTTTTTTTCACTTTTCGATGTTCTGCAGTTCTGCATCGCGCGCACGTTTAGTATTTGATTGCACCGGTTCGCATTAGCTTGCACCGATTCGCACCGGTTAACAAAACAGCTTTGACTGTACAGTGCGGATGCTATTAGCTCGTGCGCAAACCTGCGCAACCAAATTCAGACACAATTCCCGTTGCACTGGTCAGAACCATGACTGCGACATGATAGTTTGTAGGATCTGCGACGCTTGGAAACACTGTTTCTGCGAAGACTTCAACGTTCTGCTTGACTCAGGTCGGTGGCGGCGCAGCCGTTGCGGCCATTCATCTTGCGAAGAAGTTCCAGCAACTCTCGATCACCTTGTGGGACCAACATGAAACAATTGAGATTCCGATGAATCACATCACCAAGGCATGAAAAACATCCTTTCTTTTTGATGTTTTGTTCCGTTCTTTCTTTTTTACATTCGTACACAAACTGTTCTCCTTGTTCACTTGCTGTGGCTGCACCTTTGTCATATTTCCACCAAGACATTTGCAGGCTGGTTTGAAAGGGCGCATCAGCTTGCTCGCTGGCAGCTTCATCACAGATCCCTTCCCTGAAGCTGGAAGTCCCTTGTCGGTCTACTTGTGCGCATTTTGATGTGCACAAAGGCATCTCTTTGAGGATCTTCGAGGTGATGCATTTGGTCGAGTCTATGCCTTGTTTCTGCGTTTGGTCAATGGCTTTTAGATGCTTTTAGGGGATTGTCTTTACTGAAAATATCGTTCCCGCGGAGGAAGGTGGGCAGGATGCCAGTTGAAGATTTTGAGGGAAATTCAAGACGGCGAAAAGAGTTGGCCGTCAGAAAACCATGAAACTATCACACGGACGATCATTGCTGCAGTCATTTTCAGAAAGCAAGGGTTTGAAACATTTGCAATACTGTGATATGTGCCAGCCAGTTTTCTTATTTCTCAAACATGTGCCACAAGCCTGCAGTTCGAAGGTGCAAACTCAGAGGAGGTGTTATAAAGTTTCATGGGTGGCTAATTGTTCGCCACGAGTGCTGCTCAGGGAGTATGTTGGACAGAGCACTCGAGTTTTGGGTTTATGCGCATATACGAAAATTGTGTGAACGCATAGCAAGTTGGTGTGTTCAAGTTATTTGAGTGAATCGTGTCATGTGCTCGTTCACGGTCATCCTGATGGGATTGTTTTTGCCCAGTGGAACAGCGAACAAACCATCCAGATGATCGCAACAAAACCAATGTTGGCCATACCCTGCGCACTGTGCAACTGGAGCCTCCATCCCTGGCCTCTAAAGCCAGCCAATCTTCAGCCCCAGCACCTAATCGCAGGACCAAACAAGCTCTAAAGCAGCCAGCAACAGCTTCGCGCTTCGAGAAGAGAAGGGGTGCTCCGGCAGAAAAATAGCATCCAGCGCTTTCTACCGAGAGCTGAGTCAGCCTTCGATGCTGCCAATAGCAAAGCCCAACAGAAGCAGTCCAGTTGTTCTTCCATTGCACCATCCTCACCACACTGACCAGTGGCCTCACTCCACTCCACAATCCTCGTTGTGGAGGTACAGGATTAAGAAACGATCGCAAGTAAGTTACGCTCACTCGGAACTTCCTTGACGTCTGCCGGCATTGTTCAAATGTTGACAGCGTTTCAAGCTCCGATGCTGTCAAGACTTGTGAAAGCTTCAAAAGAGTAGAAAGCTGACAAGCAACAATGCCTTGTGAAATCCAAAGCTGGAAGTGCTGAAGACTGCACGAAGAAAGACGAATAGAAGGCGAACTCCGAAGAAGTGCCGATGTTCCGCTCGGTGCTGAAATGTGAATTCCGAAAGCTCCGAATTTGGTTTGCCAAATTCGTTTTATGTGCGGTGTCGCTTCCGCATTGTGCAAAGTGATCTGGATTCCTGTTGGGGGTGCCTTCCCAAATTGAATTGGCCAGGTCAAAATTCGGTGGCCTTACTGGACGCAATTGCACGGTGAAGTTAGCCTCGCAGTAGATCAGCATAGATCAGCGGTGAGGTCATGTGAAGTGGAACGTAGCCATTTTGCACTTAACTACTCCTCAGCTGAACATAGCTGAACAGCCTTATTCCTTGTAGATCAACTTCTTCTTCTACTAAACACCTTCCACCGAAACAGCATGAAGGGTCATGTCGCATTTCTACTGGGTTTCGTGCATGGGGTTTCGATGGGTTTCGTTCGGACAAATTCTGTTTGTTTCGAGGATTTGTTGGCGGGAGTGGGTGCAAAAGTTGTGTGCTAGACCCTACCTCAGCAAAATTATTTCAGGATGAGTCACTTAGTGAAATAAGTCTATTCAAATAAATAGGTACTGATAGAAGTTGCTACAAGTAGTGTTTTGCTACTAACATGTAGGTTGCAAAATAGATATCACCACAAAAAAATAAGTGGTGCTGGTGCAGACGAATTTTCATACTGTTGATCTTTTCGCAAAGTAATTTTGAGTAGTTGAGGAGCCACAGAAAACAACATTATTTGAAATGTCTAATCATTTTGGGTCACTTCGGACAGCTTGGAGAAGAAGAGAAGGGAATATATACAAACGGAAAAAATGAACATTGAAACAAATCTGGCTTTACTGGGAGCAGCAATGCAGGTGTCGTCAAGAGAAAGCCCGAGCCGTCCGCAGGTACAGGGCCAAAGCGGCGTTGAGTTTTGTTCGGAGCCATACATGAGTGACGATTTGCCACCCGGCGTTCCACTGGAATGCCACATAGCATCATGTACAGGAAAGGTGCAAACGAATACACAAAAACAGAAACAACAAGTAACAAAGAAAATCAAAATGACGAATGCAGACAATCAAACAACGAAGAGCATCATATAGATTATTGGGTGGTGGGTCACTACTAGACTACTAAACCACGGATTTCATTGCCAAAAAAAGAACAGGAGAAGGGAAAAGGGGAAAAGGAACATCAAAATGGGAAGGCCTAAGGCAGAAAAGGAACAGGAAAAGTGCAAGGAAAAGAATCAGGAACAAAAGGGAATGGCAAATGGATAAGCTGGAAAAACCAATGCTCTTGACATAAACAAGCACAATGACCGCCACCAGTGTCAAACATTATTTGGTGGGTGGGTCACTATACAAACCACCAACTAAACCGTCCTCAAAAGGAACATGAGAAGGGAAAAGGGAAAAAGAGAAGGGCAAGGAAAAGTAGAAGGAACAAAGAGAGATGTCAAAGAGATGACAAGAGCTACCACAATGTGATTTGATGTGATCTGAGATGAACCAACTTAGGGGAGGAGGGTCCCCTCCTAGGTGGTCTCCGCGTCTCAGGTCAAGTCTATGTTGGAAAGTTTATTGGATTTTTGCCGGTCAACAGTAGCGATGCCCTTTGCTCCTAGTAGCGTTCTTGTTCCTAGTAGTAAGGCCAGGAGCCCCTAGTAGCGTCCTTGCTCCTAGTAGCGATGCCAGGAGCCCCTAGTAGCTTCGTGTTCCTAGTTTAAATTTTTGGAGCAACATGTTCAGTCAAAAAGTTGCAAGGTCATGATGCTGTCCTGTTGAGCCATCAAGCGGTTATTTGGTCAAAATCGGTGCTGTTGATGATCTTCAAGCTGCTTGTTCGCATGTGCCACATTCGACTAGACTATAATGGATGCACTTTATTCCAAACTGTGTGTGTGTAACCCTTGGAATCACAGGGATCCTTTCGGATTGTTCTCGCTTTTGGTGTTTTGAGCTTTTTAGCAGGGGGGCAATCCCACGTTGCAGTTGATTGCCCAACGAAGAGGGCTGCAATGTGGCTGATATCCGGAAGGGACGCCTTCTGGACGTACCTGCTTGGTTGTGGCGTTGACAAGCTTTCACTCCAATCTTCGGGTAAAGGGCTAATGAGTTCGGCAGATGTGCACGTACGACGTCAACCTGTCGCTTCGACCCCGACTTGCGAGTTTGGCCCCTGCTCTGTTTGAGGACCCCGAGGCTTCAGTGGTTTCCGACTTATCTTCCGACTTATCTTCTTAGGAATTGGTACCCTAGGCCGGCGTGTGGCACCGCTATCAAGTCAGTACGCATATCCATAAGTGTGTTTGGCCTCGTGCCAACCCGGGATGAGCCCGCAGAGTGCCTCCCGTGGACCCGTTGAACGGGGGTTGGTCGTTATCTCCCTTGCTCCGGAGATGTACGTGCCCAGAGCGGGCGAAGGTGGCCTAGGCCGTACGTACGATGATTTTTGTCTCATCTTTGGAATTCCAAGTTGGCTCATGCCTTTACGTGACCGCAGCGGTCCAAGCTGGCTTAACGCCTCAACGTGGTCAGAGCGACCGTAGTACTTTTGAGGTTCATTGGAACCTGTCACGAACTTAGTCCCCCCCCCC